TGCCTGCAGCCCCTACAACAAGCATAGGGAGCATGCCTAAAGCAGATGAGTGACCCTTGAAAGCAGGGCAGGCTGAGCTAAGGAAGACAAGGTAAACAAGGCAAGATGAGAAAACTGTTGGTTTACTATGAAGCTCTTTTGAAAACATACAATTATCACAGAGTGCAAGCACTGCTGCTAAACAGGTTATTATGAGGGATTTGGGTGGAGAGGGAGTAGGTAGCAGTGCTTCATCTCCGCAGGTGGCCACGGTGTGTAGAGGGGATGCAGGGCCACCGGTGAGACAAACATCCATAGGATTGTAGATGCAGCATTCCTTAGGAACTGTGTGGCACCTGTGGGGAAGCCCTGAGAAGAATTTGAGAGAAAGGGCTAGTGTGGTCACAGCTGGGGGCAGTGACTGTTTTGGTGTCAACCTCCTGCTGAGAGCAGGAACAATAGACTCAGGAAGGAAAGAGGTAGTGAAGTCAAAGGGGGAGAGTGCAGGACCTAGAAGAAGACTTCCAGCTGGTAGAATAGAAAGGAAACTCAGGGAGGAAGGGACCACAGGATCTGTAAATAGCTGGACCTAGTGAAAGCACTGGGACTGAAGAGGAGAGATTATGGGCCCCCACACTAAGGGGGAAGAGGTGCTGACCACCACTACATTGCTTGTGGAGAAAAGATCACTCAAGCTGCAGCTGTAATTGCCTTAAGCTGAGACTGACAAACTAGGAACCTCTGCAAGCAGGGTTACTGGACGACAAAAATGGACAGTAAAATGGATGTGCTGAAAGCAGCTGAGGTGATTTGGCCTGAAATTTGGTTTGGAAAAGTTCACTGGAGCCGTGCTGCTTAGTCAAGGTGTTCCAAAGAAAACCAGCCAATTTCTTCCAGTTACAGAGCCTACCCCATTGCCCTCTCCCCCCCTGCCCTCCCCTTTCAGCAAGGATTTGTTCATCTTCTCCAGAAAGATCTTCTCATATTCATCCTCTTTGATCTTCTAAGAACCTAAGTAGCTTGGTAAACAGTCTCACTCCCTTGCAGCCCCTGAGTTTTCCAGCTCCTTGAAGCCTGGACCTGGGCAGTGGTGGAACACTTGGTTGCAAGCCTTTTTCTGTTTCTCCTTTTTTTTTTTTTTCTTTTGTGCAAGGTCCCTCTGAAGACACTTTGCCTCATATCATGCAGCCTTACTATTCTTGCTTGTTTTGCACAACCTTTCCTGCCAGCCTGTAGTGGGTATTTTCCAACCACATTTCCATGGGTCAAGATGGAGTTTGTGGCACTGGCTTTGTCTCGGATTCAGCCCCATGACCAGTCTGCAGCCAGTCTCTGTGCAGTTACCCTGGAAGTGATCACCTGAGTCTGCAGGCAGTCTGAGTAGAGCGTTCAAGCCCATTTTAACTCTGGCACCAGCTTTCTTCACAGAGGGGAATTTTGCAGCCTGCTGCCCATAAGCATAGCACTAGCAGCTCTAGAAATGCAGCCCCAGTTTATGCACAACCTGCACTTCAGTCAGGGAGAACCTGCCTGAAATAGCAGAGCTGAGCTCCATGTGGCTGCGGCCTTGGGCTGCCCTGCAAACAGGGCAGGAGCGAAGCGAGTGCAGGACAGTTTGTAACAGCTCTGAGGGGTCTCTGTGCAGGATTGCCACATACTTGCACCTGCCTCAGTGCTTCGTGCCAAGCAAACCAGCCACAAGGACACAGGGGATGGGGAAGTGGAACGGACAGTAAACTGAAGCACCAACGGTCCCAAGCTCCACACAGGCCTGTGGGAGTGCCACCAAGAGTTATACACTAACCGCAACTCTCAGCTGCCATCAGAGAGCACAGCTGTCCTGTGGGCTCTGCGACCCACATTTTGCCTACAGGGCAGAAACATCATTAATGGGTTGAGCAAGCTCAGCTGCTGCTTTGGGGAAATGGGTGTGATCCATCATAGAGAATCTTTAACTTCCTCTTCCTAGAAAATTCATGCTCAACAGGAAATCCAAGCTTTGCATGATACTTTAGAAATTCTTTTCCAGGAAGATGTCAGAACCAAATTAATTATCTGCCAACCACAGATGTACAAGCATTCCACAAGGAATGGCTTTATTAAAAACATAAAGTATGACTAGATAATGTTTTCACTGTTGCCCATCAGGCACAGAGACGCATCTGTACATTTTTACAGAAACCATGGGGGAAAAACAGGCTTTGTTGGCCTTCTGGAATTAGTTCATGGGTGCATCTCTCTGCTCACACACAAGACTTTTGGCATGGCATGGATGACAAGTTTCAACTAGAGCCTTTGTGGTTAACAAAACCTCATTTGCTTCTACGGAAATCTAAATCTCCAGGCAGAGCTATTAGTTTAATATAAGATCATTAGATGTGTTTGGTTGTTTGTTTTTTTTTTTCCCCTCCAGCTCGTTCTTTACTACAAAGGCTCTCTTTTACTAATCCATTTGGTTTTGGGTAGCCAGTAGTATGTGCCATGCCAAAATTTATGAGGTACAGTCCAGCCAAGCAATTCTTCATTCTCAATGTGTTGTCTCCTGTCCATTACTTCAGCTCTTGGCAGGAATTTCTGATATGCAAACATTCCTTTAGGGGACTTGTTCACATAAGCTGCAGTATGTCACTATTTCAACCTTCAAGCAGCCTACTATGATCAGGTGGTCCTGTTTTCCTAGGACAAATAAGTCCATTCAGACTTTGTCCTGTGGAATTTCAGGTTGTTTGTACTGTAATCAGAGGTCCTGGCCACTGGACATTTCTGTCCTCATAGCAGGTTCTGGCCACACCTAACTCCATCCCTAAATTATAGCCTGACTAGAACTCAGAAGGGGAATTGAAGTCAAGCCTCCATGTTATCCTACATAACTCCCTTCTAGAATTTTTTGACCTTACATGAAAGGCTAGCATTAGTGTTTGAAAATATCCAGGCTAACAAGGTAAATTTCAGTATTCATTAAAGCACATCTCAGGTCATTTTATCCCTGACTGTTTTTGTCTCTGTTATCTCACAAGCCTGGCAGGCATGCTCTCTTCCCATTCATGTGTGTTAGGACAAAGCAGCAACAAATCATTCAGTTGTGGGTCAGCAAGTAGAACACTTGCAGTTACTGTACAACACTGATGATACTTCACCTGGGATATAGTACTGAAAGAGAAGACTAGATCTTTAAATAAATCCAACACCGACACCTCTAATTGCATGGCATAAGCTTAGAGGTTTCTTCAAATCTTGAACCTAGAATAATAGGTAAATTCATAGCTAAATCCAAGTGTTTTTAATGTCTGTTCCTTAGATCTTTAATTGTCTTTTGGGAATACTTTATCTTTTCTTGAGAAATGACATTACTGATTCAGAACAAAATGGTTTAGCCTTGTTCTTTTGATTTGCACCCCCTCCCCCATTCATGAAGTACAGTGCTAGGGATACTTTGAGCAAGACCTTTCAACAGCTGATGCATTTTTGTGGTATCACAAAAAGCACTAAATAGCATTAGTCTCAGATCTCTTTGTCCATGGCAGACTACATTTCAAGGCATTCAGTGTGCTGTAAAAGGTTAATTTCTACTCTGTCTAGCAGGCAGGCAATAAGATATTTGTGATACTTTAATCTCTCGTGAGTTAACAGTGTTTGAATCTGTCCATCCCCACCTCCTTTTCAGTCTACATTTGTTAAACATCCATTTTGGTTCACTAGCTGCTGTTAACATGCTCACCTATGACTTCAGACTTCCTTATCTGTATCACCCCTTTTCTGACTTAACCAAGTTCCTCACGTGCTAACCCAGAATAAGAATTTCACTACAGAAGGCTACTACAAACTCACAATGCATCTCAACAACAATTTCAAGCAGATGAGTAAGTAAACAGCCTTTAAACTATTGTTTAGGGTTTTTTTATTTTTCCAAAAATGGTAGCTTTTCCTTTTTTTGTTCCCTCAAGCTCCTGGGCTTATCCTATACAGAACATATCCATCAGTCCTCATGTTTGAATACACAGAGCACTAGGATCAGGTTCCACTTTTTTCTGTTTCAGCAGCCTCAGAGGCTTACAAGGGCAGAAAGGCAGGCCAGATAAAGAGGTTTGATAGGGCCTCCCTGCTGAATGGCACTTAACAACTGGGCATAAGTATACCTGCAGCAATTCAGGACCAAAAGAAGAGTTATCCCTCTATAGCTAATGTTGTGCCAGCCAGCAGGTAGCTTCCACACTCTGCTACCCTTCATCACAGTGTAGGGGTCTTTGGCAAAGCAGGGAGTGTGCTTCTAGCATGCATAAGTCAAGAATATGTAGGAGAAGGAAAAAGAATGTCTCTACTGTGTACTGAGTGTTCATGAAGAGAGGTATAGCCAAAATGATCTAGAAGCATTAGAAACCCCAACACATACTAGTGCATTTAGGGGTCCTAAGCAGAACAGCACTGGAATGTGGCTGCCTCTTTGTTAATACCAGCCTTCAGCATGTGTCAAGGCCCATTCTAGCTCAGGAAACATTGAGTCAACTCTGACCTGCTGCTAGACAGTTCTGTCCATAACTTGTTAGCCTGAACAGCCACATCATGCAAGACAGAAGCCTCTTTCTCCTGTCCCAGCTATACTACCATTAATTCCTGGTGTTATCCCAATAAATCTGAGAGCAGTGGGAGGGGACATCCAGGTTGTTGAAGCTGTATCACTTATACCAGCTGCCTTACCAGGGGAGCCAACAAGCCTGCAGGTTCGGATGCTGAAAACTTCCAAAAGATGTAGGAGAATAAGATTTCTGCCAGTCAGCTTGATTGAGCCAAAAAGGGGAAGCAATACTAGAAGTTCCCTATTGCCCTGTACATCCAAAGTTCCTTGAACAGGAAACTTGGGGGCAGGGCAGACCCCACCACCCTATGGATGCATGTGCATCGAAGCCAAGGAAGTCTCCTTTCTCTGTTTTGAAGAGCTGCATGTGTCACTTATCTCCCTTCACTGAGTGCAAGTCAAGAGGATCTGTTCCCTTCTGCACTCCTATAGTGTTCACAATCAGAGAAGTCTTTACTCATCCTTGTTTATTTATTAGAAAATCCCTACAGGTCTAGGCATTTAAAATGAAGCATTAGTTACATGGAATACATGCCCTCAAAGTCCAGAAGCTGCTGGATATACTGCAAAGGTGGATTGGGGCCAGCAGTGACCTCTGCAGGAGATGCTGGTATGGCTGTGGGACACTAGCAGGGCAGTAGCAATCATGATCCAACCTTCTCAACATAGTTAGCAGGATAGAGTCCAACTTGGCCAGTGAGAAGTCGGCCCTTGCACCAGCCCTGCTCATCTTCCTCACTAATCTTCATTAGTTCTTCACCTAAAAGCAAAAACAGTCATTAGGAAGCAGTCTTGGGAAAGGTAGCATGGCATTTTTCCCCCACCTCAAAAGAGTTGATTAAAAAGCAAGACCTATTGGTCTGAATCACCACACTTTTCTCCCCTTATCGCACTCTGTATCATACTGCACAGTTTAACCAAAGCCAGAGTTACTGACCTCTTCAGTATCTATGCTCAGTACCATCCCCTAGGCCAAGGAACTTAGGGCCAGACCTTCACTTCTGCTGTTCAACATCAGAAATATTTTTGTGCCCTATATTTCTGCCTGCTTTCCTCTCCCCAGAGGAACGTGCTTACAAGCCAGAGAGATCAGAAGGATCTCAGAGATTTCTCTCTTAGTGGCTCCTCCGTAGCATGTGGGAAGGGAATGTAAGATGCTGCTAAGCTCTCTAGCTGTTAGGACCCAAAATGACTATTCCATGATGGAGCGTCTGGTTTGGCCAGCAAGGCATGGAATCAATTCATTTCTCAGACTATGAGCAGGAAAGGCTTTTAATCTTCCCACATCTACTTTGGGAAAGGGCAGAAAGGTCCCCTTCTCCACCAGTAGAAGGTCATACTTCGGCCAGAGAGGGAGGTCTCACTGCATCAATAGACACATCCCACACTGGCAGAGGCTCAGAGTCATCTGCTGTTAAGCTTAAGCTCTACTTGGTGCATGCTGCTCAGAGCAGATTCAAGAAGGGGATGGCTGAAGCTAACCAGTCATGCCTCATTACATCTGCTGGGTGGAAAGAGAGAGCAAAGAGTCAAGTTCTAGAGCACCCATATTGTAAGATATTTTAAAGCAACAAGTTAGCGTTAGGAAGTTTACTAGTATGGTAACACTGCAGCATAGATAGTGGCCTCAGGCACAAGGTACTGAAGGACTTCAGTACCTTTTCAAAACAGGTGTATTTTGGAGAGGCATAGCACAGAGACACCATGTAAGACTCAAAACAAGCACAATTAGAGACACTCTCAAGATTCAGATGCCCTCTTGGAATTGGAGAAGATGGCATATGCAAACTAAATTTAACTGAAGGAAGAAAAGTGGAAGGGTCTGTTTGCAACAGCATTCTCTCTCACTCAATCCTCTGCTGTGAGCCAGGATCTCCACTCTCAAGATACCCATTTTGAGCAACAGTTTGCATAGCTGTTTTTTTGCCAGTTGAACTCTGCCTTCAGTAGTGCATGTCAGTCAGCTGAGCTTTCTCCCAAAACATCTATTTTCTGGTTACTTCAAAGGACAATCCAGACCACCTATGTAATTTTTGTATCGATGGCACAAGGGAGAAACATTTAATAAAGTCTCAAGATACAAGACAGAGTAAGTGCCTTAGGAGGAGGCAGGAAGGATCCGTTTTACCACTTGGGGTCTGCTCTCCTTACACTGTGACCAAGGCCAAGGCAATCTCTTTTTATGTGGCCTGTCTCTTAGTCTAGAACAGGTTGGACTGCCCAGGGTATCATCCACCTCAGAGGAGCTGGCAATGGGTCAGGCCAGGGAAGAAGAGTAAGTATCAGTTTTCAAGGGACATCCAGTTCTTAAAGAGTGTTTCAATCACTCAGCCCGAGTGAGGACAGCAAGAGGTTAGTAAGAGATTAGTGCTTCTGTACCTGCTTTAAAGCTCAGCTCATCAGCCTCCTGTCCTGTGTAATCATACAGCGCTCGTACCCGTACACCTGGTACCTTTATGTCCTCCTCATGCCCATTGGCATCCAGGCACTTCTTGGGAGTGTCCTCATCTGACCACTCTGAAATGTCTTCCTTCCCTCCGCTTTGTATGTGGAAGGAGAGAGGGGACAAGATGGTTGTTAGTAGACTCATCTCTCACCCACCTGCTCCTGAATCATGCACCACCCTGACTCCCCCCTGAGACTGCTATGCTATAGAACAAGGTGCAAGAGGCCCAACAGCCAAGTGAGGGTGAACAGGGGGGAGAGAGATCAGCAGATACTAGATTTGGTTGAAAGCATTCAAGCATTACAGCCCTGAGGGCCAGGAGGGTAACTCATTCTCAAAGTACTTTCACACAGGCACACTCTTCATGACCTCATCCTACTCTAGCAGACCCTCTCAGACAAGGAAGGCCGGTCTTAACTGGAGAGCCCAGCTGTGTTCAGAGTTATTCCAGCCAAGAATAAGACAGACAGGAAAAGCCATGTCTCCCATCCCAAAGAAACATGTCTGGAATGACATTTTCCAAGTCAGGAACAAGAGCAGAGGGGAAGAGCAGCAGAGGACAGGCACCTGGAACCCAAAAACCCCTGAAGAGGCTACGTTCCATACTAACTTCACATGGGCAGGTGCCCTCAGGCTGTCATAGAAGAGGCTGTTCTGCTCCTCTTGATAGGAAAACCTGTAGATTGGCAAATAGGGCCCCTGAATCCAACAGACTGAAATACAGTAGTGGCCTTGAGACATCTCTATATCCCCATTCTTTTCTGCCCACTTCACTTAGGCCACAGTTCACCTTTTAAAGCAGGATGGCTACTAGAACTGTAGGACATGAGTCTCTCCAGCCTCTCCCTGTTCTCCAGCTTGCTTCCTGGTAAGGGAAGCAGCTATACCCACACTTGTCAGGTAGTACTCAGCACCATGCCAGGGGGTGAAAAAAAAAAAAATCTGATGCCTGCATTTAGGAAACAGTACAGCTAACTGGCAAAGCTGCCAGTTCCCAACTCTCCTCACCCTGTCTGGGAGGAAAAAGGATTGGGGAAATGCATGCCAAAAATCTCACACAGCATTAGTCTGACTCGGCCAGATCTCATCACTAGAAGGATCTTTACAAGGAAGGCACCTTGTGAGGCAGTACATACTAGACAAAAAAAAAGTGCAGCTACCATAAACCCCCTTTTCTACCCTGTGTTTTCCAGGGTGGCACAGGCAAGGCCATGGGCAAGAGACAGGAAGTTAAGGAAGAGATCACTCCTATCAATCCAACTCATTCATGACCCTAGGCAGGACTGTACTTTTCCTAACCTGATGCATCCCAGACTTCAGCCCTTACCTTCGCCTTGTCTGCAGAGGGGTCTGTGAGACAACACCATCCCGTGTAGGCAAAATGCTGGTCAGCGTGACATCATCAGCCATCTTGCCACTCTTCTCCTTCTTGGTGATCGGCCGCTGTGTTTCGAGGGACCATTCCTGTTCAGGGAAAAGCAGTAACACCATCAAGCCACCCAGATACAAAAGCTCTGTGCATCTTTTCTGACCAATACAGAAGGACAGAACACCAGGTCATACTTCAATTGTGGCTGGACTGGTCAGCCAAATGGCCTTGCTGGCATAGCAGGCTCACTCCTGATGAATTCCCAAGGTGTAACAAGAGGGGCTGTGAGAAAATTATAACAGGAACTTGTCCCAAGGCACTGAGCACCAGCTCTTGTTCTTTGACCTTGCAGCTGGATGGCTGGAGCATTTGCAGTTTGGCAGGGTTGCATGTGTCCCTTTGGGCACCAAAGAGCTTGCAACACAACAAAAATTTTAGAAGAGCCTAACATCCTGGGCCTGCTGAGCAAAGACATGGTCTTTCCAACACAAGACTAGCAATCCACCAATTTCAGTAAAGCAGATAAATGTTTGGAAATAGTAATAATACACTCTAGAATGCTACAGCACCTCAAAATGAGGCCAATTCATCGCCATGCCTGGTCCATGAGTGTTGCGCCACCACTTCAGGTCCTCCTGGTTGTCCGCAGCCATGACGACTTGGTAGAGATCTCGATACAATGCATGAAAGCTGTGACCAGGAACAGACAGAACCATCAGTAACCAAGTCCCTCAGCTGTTTCCCAAAAGCCAAGTAGAAAGGAAGAGCGTAACCTCATGAACAATTACATAGCATCCAAAGTCCCACAGGATTAAGGATGCTAGAGCAGCACCTGCTCAGCCCTAGGAAAAGAGCCACCCTTACAGAAGAGTCAGCCTGCCAAATGGGACAGGCTTGTTTGGTGTGGCAGCAGCTAACATCTGCCAGCTCTCAGCACAGCTCATCAAATGAGCATTGAAAGAACCTTGCACATTCTTGCACACAGACAGGTGGCTCAAATTTGTTGCCTCCACCTTAAAGTATAGGAGCACAGAAGATTTTTGGCTGCACCTATTTCCCCCATGTAACCCCTACACTTAAGGGCAACTTGTGGGCTTACAGTTATCATTATCTCACAAAAGTCTCTTTACTCAGGGCAGAATGGGTGTAATAGCTATAGATACTAGAAGGCAACAGAGCCACATTCCTCAGTCTGGGATTGTATATAGCAACATGGAGGAATAGAAACACACCCACAGGACAGTACTAGACAGTAGCGGAAGAGGAAGGGTTCAGAGGCAGAAAGAATCCTCTCTAGGGAGCCTGGCACTGTCCAAGATCAGAGACACTAGCACTGGTCAGCCTAAAGGGACCAAATGCCAGTTCTCAGACACACTTGGAAGGGGAAGGAGCAAGACCTGCCTGATGCAAGCAGGCAGCTCCCTTTCAGACACCAGAATTGGCACCCCTCACCAGAGCCCAGGGCACCCCAGGCTGGCAGACTTCCCTCCTGTGTCAGGGCTGGTACCTTTCACTGGTGGAGAGGTTGAGATGCTGGTGCAGATTCAGGAACATTTCCTTAAAGAAGCACAATCGCTTGCGCTCTGCTTCCTGACAGCCCTCAAACACTTGCTCCATGTCCTCCATGTAGCGGGGATTGTAGCGGTTCAGCTCTTCCAGCATCTTCTCATATTGATCCTTGCACTGTATCAACCCAGGAGGACAGTAATGGTGAGATGTGTGGCCTTCATGTCAAACCAGTGACACTCTCCCTGCTCTGGCCTGGGACTGACAAGTTTTTTCCCCCCCTGCACTGCTGAACAAATACACCACAGAAAGAAGAAATCCCACAGCTGGTATCCCAGTCCATTGCTCTCCTAATGTTCTTGCAAGTTCCTTGTTCTTCCTTGCCACCCTCTTCCATAGAGGACCTTCCGCACTTCCACTCTCGTGGGCAGGCAAACCAGCCACTTTTGGTAGCCAAGTCTTCAGCTCTGCAGCTCCTACCCCCACACCAAATCTCCTACTTTTTTAAATTTACTTATAAATTAGATCTTACTCAACACCAAAGATAGAGAGACCTTAGTCTTAGTTACTGAAGTCTCAGTAACTTGCTAAAACCTCAGAAAATGGGATCTCACACCTCCTTACAGGCTTCAGCAGGAGCCATTTCACCGAGTGACATTACAACCAGTGCTTTTTCCTCGAGAGGAGTATCCTTGTGACCCACATCCATAAAACACATACTCACCTTCTCAGCCTCCTGAGTACACTTCTCTACACGCTCCTGCAACTTGCGCAACTGTTCCTGTGAGACAGATGAGTCTGCCTTGGCATGGTTCTCCCTTGTATGGGCTGTTTTCTCCTCCTTCCGGGCTGCATGATAGTTTTTCTTAGAAGTCTCCACCTATAGGAGGAAGATGCAGAGAAAGCCATAATCCTGACCACATTGATCCTCTATTACTCAGAGAGGGCATGTTAACATTTGTTACAGTCAGCAGCAATGGTTTCAGGACAACCTAATAGGAATGCCAATTTGGCATTTAGTAAACATGCTCCAAAGGGAAGTACCACCTCCAAATGATCCCTTTTTCAGTGCTTACCTGCTGTGCAGGAATACAGAGCCTGTTACCAAAGTCTTCCCACATGGGAAGGAAGCTACAAAACCACCAAGGACAAGAGACCATCAACACAACCCTCCCTCTCTGGCATTCTCTACTACTCTGGCTAAATCCAGTTTGTTTGCCCAGTGGCTCTCACAGTCAGGCAGCCAGCTCAACTTCCCTTATCCCTCCTTCCCCATTTACACTTTGCTCACGTCTTTCATCTTCTTCACCCAGGGTTTCTGGGCCTTGCGGAACCCATCCTCTGCCTCCTTTGTCTCCTTGAAGCCTCCAATCATCTGCTTGTGGTAGGCCTCCTTCTGCCAGGCTTTGATCTTATCTGAGTCTTCCCCAGCCAGGTGGTTCCGGACAGCTAAGTGAATTTCACTCAGTTTGTCTGCAGCTGTCAAGAAGGCATGCCAGGCCTTCTCCAGAGTACCATACTGTGGACCTGCAGGAACAAGCACCAGAGGAGCTCTTACACCTCCTGTCCGCAGAAGGGAACGCAGATTCTTTTCCTCCTACACACACCTATCAGTATGGAGTAATTTCCTTAACTCTCCCCCATCACACAAGTCAGCATTGACTGGTCTCCACACAGTCCCAACAGGCAGCATGTACACTGGCTGTTACAGCTGGCCGAGACAGGCATTTCTTTTGGGCAGCCTTAGCTGTCCCAGACAGTGCCTGCTAGGAGAAAGTTTCTGTAGAAAATTCTCTTCACAGATCTGGCCTGAGCTTCAGGACAGATAGCAACACTAGTTCATGACTGAGGCTAAGCTGCTGCTTCACAGACCAGTAGGTCCTTTGGGGCATCTGTCCCACTGTTTCCCATTACTTTGTGAGATGCTGTCAGTTTGAGCCCACTGCCACTCAATCACAGCATTAGTAGTTATTCCCTGACTAGAGGGGAAGGGGGAGAGGCAGCCAATCCATCCTTAAAAGGGGAGATCTGCAGCTTGATTTAAGACTTGGACTGCCCAAGGACTTGCCAATCTAAACAAATAGATTTTTTTTTTGTAACCAAACACCTGACAATGCAGAGAACACCTCTCCAAGTGAATCAGAGGACTGGCTACAAAACCACACACACACACACAAAGACACCCAAAAAAGTCACCCCCTTCCTGGATAAGGGAAGCCTGTCCCCCAAGGAGACAGCGTCACCTCAGTAAGAGATAGCACTCAAGGAAGAGAGCGCAATGATTGCATCCTGTTCCCAGTCCAACCTGCCAACTTTACCTTTCTCCACATTGGTCCTCCACTTACGGGACCACTCTGTTAGCTGCTGGGCATAGTTCTTCTCTATCTTGGCTCGCTCCTGGAAGCAGGAGATTAAGTCATTGCAGAGCCGGTACCCATCATCCACACGCTTCACTGTCCGCCTGTAGTTTCCAGCCTGAAATTTCACACAACATCATCATTTATACTGTACTTTCATGTTCCTTCAGAACAGACAGCAGCAGGTCAATCATTGCATGGGGAGGGAGCACAGGCCCTTCTGAAGCCAGCAGCTGGGCTCAGACCCTCTACTGGCACTCTCTCAGGCAGGCACAACAGTGGAGGGAAGAAGCTGAGATGCTTTGTTTGCCTCTCTCACAGCTCAGATCAGCGTCAGCTGAACAAGGAACTCTCGTTCCACAGCATCTGTGGAGGTAAGGGTCACCTCCTCCCTGCAGTAATACAGAGTGCATTACTGAACCTCCCCACAGTTCCTCCCTTCCACTCCCCAAGAACAACATGTCATCCAGGAACCTGAAACTCAACCCCCTAATTCCACGGATAGGAGGTAAGAAGACATTCCTACCTCTCTCACACTCCAATTATCCTTCCTTACCTCCCAGAAACTGCCCCCAGGAGCCTCCCCGCCAGCATCATCTTCTGATGACATCACCCCCGTTTTCTTGCAGCAGAAAATTTTTGCAGATTTCAGTTAAGCTGAGAAGAGAGAAAAGTGATTTCTAACATAGCACTGGCTGAGCCTTTGCAGACAGCACAGTCCTCCGTGACTCTTGGAGCTGGAGGAGCCCAACTTACTGCCCTGCAGGCAAGTACTGGCATCACTGCACCTCCAGCAGCAGATGGCTAGATCCAGCAGAGATGCCCAGGACTGAACCTCCCTCCTGCTGACAGAAGGCCTCCTTGGCAGGCCTGTAGCACATTTGGAAAGGATGTTGTAGAAGACAATCTTGCCAAACCTCAGCTGTACAGATACTGGAGATGCTAGTGAATCCAACACCCTTCAGCAGCACCAGACATCTCTGCAGAGATTCCTTTCTTAACCAAGGCCCTCAAGAGGGTAGCAAAAGCTACAGAAACTGAGGTAGCTAAAGCTATTTGAAATCTGCCTTGACAGACTTTAAATAAGTCTTCTGTCAATGGAGATGACTCCAGCTTCCCAGTATGACTCAGGATTATGGGATTACAACAACTGACTGGAGAAAACAAGGCTGAGCAGTCAGCAGGCAGGCATGACTTGAATGGGGAGGAACCCTATAAGCTGCCCACCAGCTGAGCTGGGCTTGAGCAGAACTACAGAAACACACTGGGGCATACCCAGCCAAATGGCACTGCGGCACACATACCAGTAACCCAGCAGCACTGCTTCTCTAGAAACATCCCTGTAGAGCTGGTGTGTTCATTACACTCAACTCCCACTGCATTAGGCTCAAAATCTAGGCTAGAAGGTAAAAGGTGCCTCTCATCCTCTGTTGTCTCAGAACTTTTGCCTATTCCCTGTGCTTGTCTGCGCTGCCAGTTTGTTCCTGACATGGTGTGACACAATGAATTCCCTGGGGAGAGGTTCAGGGTTGCTCTTGTGCAGGAACGAGAGAGGGAGTAACAGAAAAAGGCCCAAGCCCAGTGACTCACACACAAACCCACTCCATTCTAGGCAAGTCTGGGTTAATGCAGCATAGATGTCCTTTGCTGCCACTTCTCCTCTTGCACATTCCTAGTTATAAAAAGCTTCCCTCACACCCCAGAGAGGTATCTGCTCATTCTGCCAGCTCAGAGTACACAGCAGAGATGAAGAAGATCAGGTCAAGAGACCACATCTCCCACCTCCTGCAAATCCTTCTCAGCAGCATGAGCCACGCCATGAAGCACACCAACACAGACTGCAGGAATTTCCTACATTTCTTCTGGAAACAGTTTGGCCCTGTTTGCCCAGTCTCGTCCCATGGAGAGTGTCAGGAGTACATTAATGCTGTTCCTCTGGGTTTTTCCAGAAGGCTGGAAGTGCTGAATTCCAGTCACAGAAGCAAGTTGTTAAATGGGACATGACACTCAGGTGCACGAACCTTGAAACCTGAAGAATACCTCCACCCATGCCACCAGCTGTCCCTGTCCTCCCTCCCCAGCATTTGTCAGCAGGCTGCAAAGCTATCTTATGTGCCTCCAGGGCATGCAACTCTACTCTTGTCCCCAGTAACTACATACCTGAAAGCTGAAAGTGAGATGTCGCGGGGGAGCAGCAGGCAGCTGGCAAGTATGTCCCGAGCTCTTCAAACTCTGTGAAAAAGACTGGAGGAGACAGAGATGGGCACAGTTAGACACTGCTGCTCCTTTGCAGGAATGCTGCCCGTTCTGATGCATTGCAATCCTACGGGTGTCCCCCTTCTGCCAGCTACTAGGAGGGGCACCCTCCGATATAGCAGCTGCAGCCACTGTGCCTCCTGAGATGCCACGTTCCAGCACGTAGGAGAGATGCCAAATCCTTGTGTCACAAGATCTAGCCCCAGAGAGAGTTAAAATAGAAACATCGGGGTGACATGACAGCACTGTGCGGGAAAGGTAGCATCACAACAGCTGAGCAAAGAGAGCAGCTCGTGGCCAGAAAGGCCTAAAATAAGCACGCTCCCCAGGCACTGTACGTGGGGCCTGGTCCCCCCTCATTGTACAGTGTCCGGTTTAGCAAACCCCACTGCCTTCATGCACTGCTGCCTGCACTTTTATACATAGCTGGCTTTGGGAGAAGAAAGGAAGGACACACACATACACTTTCTCCAATCCCTTTTTACTAAAGATGAAGAGGATTTATATACAAGACAAAGGACTTGATAACTCTACATGTAAAAAACAAAACCAAAAAACTTACAAAAATGCATATTCTGGTTTAGAGGCCTGGATTCCTTTTAGTAGTAGAGCACCTAGCACTGCCCTGGTAGGATGTGACTCTCTACCAGCAGAGCTTTTTTGACCCTTAGTTCTGTAAGCTGTCCCCATCACATTCTCAGAAATACTTTATTTTGCATTATGGTATAGGTAACTGTCATCAACTTTCCACAGAGGATAGGGAAATAAAAGGCCTGCAGAGGCTAAGGGAAGCAAGGGCAGAAAGGCATTTTTGTTTACCTCGCATTCACTTCCCTGAAGATTTACTTCAATGTCAAAAGTCTATTTATTTAAAAAACAGACAAGCAAAAAACCTTCTGCACAGTCATGAATATCCACTCGGCTGAGGCTGGAAGGTTAGGGCAACTGAGAGTTAATACAACTGAGAGCAGAAACTGCAAAACCTGGGAGGAAGTGGGATTTTTAGCCAGACATTAAGACAGTTTTGGAGAAGGAGTGCAAGAAGGTAGGAAAAGAGGAAGAAGGAAAGAAAAGCAGACTGGGTTATTGCAAACAGACTAGGGACCTCTGGTGACGAAGGCAGCAGGGGAAGAGTTGGGACACTTTTGCATGATCCAGGTCATTGGTTAAAAAGTTACAGCTCACCATAAAACCTTCTAAGACTTTCCAGTGGTCCCCCGTAAAACCAGACTACACATTCCTGAAATTGCCAAGATTAAAAATACTTCATGAATAGTTATGCAAAAGTATACTTAAATCTGCCCCGGACCCTTCCTTTCTTTCTCCTGATGAAGACATAGATCCTTTATGTGGCATATCTAATTGTTGTATCACTTTTTCCATCCCACACCCCCATCCCCACTTTATCAGGAAGCAGTGAATCACAAACATGCCTTCCAGCTCTGGTTTCCAATTCAGGCTGACTACACAGTGCTAGAATTTGGGGGTAAATGTGGAAAGCTGTTGTGTGTCAGAGCGTGCTTGTTCATTTGAGGGACGGTCAAGCAAATAACAAAACAAAAAAAACCCCGAATCCATTCTTTCTGCAGTTTCCACATTAGAATTTGAGCCATACCCACTTATTTTCTCAGGAGTTACTAACCCAAATAACTGGATTTACTATCACTAAGATCAACAGGCTCTGGAACAGAATAGTAGCTGTGCTGGATCAGACTAATGGTTCTCGTAGCCTCACAGTCTCTGTAGACAGCAGCCAAAAGCAGATACCTTCCCTCACTTTGAGAGCAGAGCAAGCGTACACGATGCCTCCCTGCATGCTCTCCAAGCCTCTAATCGTTTGTTGACAGGAACTTCCTGAGCTGGATGTGGCACCTATGAATTTAGTAACACTCAATGGATTTCTCTTCCATTAATTTCTCCAATCTGTTTTTGAACCCACATGAGTTTTCAGCATCCACAACATCATGTGGCAAAGTATCCCACAGCTTAAGGATATACTGTAGTCATCGGCACAGTAGCTAAGTGGGAGAATACAATAAAAGTAGTATAATGTTTCTGCAGGCTAATCTCCATGACCTGAGTAGCAGCCAGTCAAGTACATATTTCTATAGCAGTTGTATAGACTTTATAGAAGTCCAGAAAAAAAATCTAGCCTGGTAGAAGCAAAAAGGTCAAAGAACAAGGAGCACCCTTTTCTGCCAGGCTTTTTCTGGACTTTACATACTCCATGAGCCCATGTCAGTCAGCAGATCAAATTGGATCTGCGTGCAGGCATAGGGAAGGTACTTAGTGCTGCACACAGGGGCTGAAGAACAGCTGCTGCTGCTGTCACCCTGAGCCCTAAAGAGCAAACAGATTGCCACTCCACCCCCTCATGCCTAGTTATTCCCAAAACACCGCATGTGTTGTGAGCCACCAAGAGCTTGAGACCAGGGGAAACCCGAGTTTGCCAGGAAAAGCAAATGAGTTATACATGGCAAGGCTGTTTTACAGCAAAGTAGAGATGACAGGGCTACCTTGTGGACAGCCTGATATAGCAAGACCCACCACATGATTCAGGAGAGCTGGCAGAGCCTGTACAGTATGAGCAATATAGCTGGAGTTATATTGGGTCAACTGGAGTTATATGTGGGTCAGCACCACATGCAAGACTGATGCCACTGCCACCTCTGCTAAGACGAGGCTATCTAGTGAGTCATATTTGCAAGGAAAGGAATGTTTATCCCTACCTTCCCACCTTCCTCTTTCAGCTACCAAGTACCTCAAGAGCTACTTGAGACCTCACTGCAGCTCCTGCAAGATAAGCTCTCTGAAGGAGGGGGAGAGTGACTACATCTATTCACTTCACACCTCTGCAGATTACGGATGAGGGCATCACAGACACCACTACAATGAGCAACGTCAGGTAGGCAAACTGAACCATGCAAATGAGATTGCTGCACAGCTACAACCCTTTCTGTTAGTAGTGTTAAAAAAAGGTACTCCCCTCCTTCCCCCAAATATCTGCTCTTGCTTATGACCAACACAGTCATTAGGCCTCACCTGTATCAACTCCCTATTAAGTTATCAAAAAAAGACTCTTGGTCTTCAGCTGCGGAAAGGTAGAACGGCTCATGACTGCCTCACTGATACTGAGCTCCACTCGGGGAAATGCCAGAGGGCTCGTCATGGCAGAGCTGTTTCCACCTTTAACCATGTTGTTAATCTCACCCCTGCTCCAGTCAGTCACACATCTCAAACTGCAAATCCCTGCCCTCAGCCCAAGGCATCAGGCTAAAACCTTCCCTTTCAAAACATGTGTGAATCTGGCAACACACTACAAGGTACGTCTTTGTTTCATGTTTGCACAACATGAGTACAACAGGGTCCTGATCCACAAATAAAGCTTCTAGACCCAATAGTAATAATCACTCTTCTCCACTTCAGAAACCTTTCCCTAAGGCAGGTAAACCACAAAGATCCTCTTCCCTCTACACCACACTCCAATACTTCCAGCCTCCAAATGCCCAAGGCGTCGCTTCTGTGCATTGCTCGACTGCCTCCCAAGACTCCTTGTGAGCAATTGTTTTCCTAAGTTTGCCAAGAACAAGCCTCTGAACTCTACAAATGCTCAAAGGGCTGGTGCATGCAGCCCTGCAGGAATTCATCCACAGAAACAGAGCTTGTAATGCTGTGCCAGACAATGCCTTCTGCCCAACTCCTCTCCCCTTTCCCAAGTGCAACAACAAGTGCTGGATGCAGACACATGTAGAAACAAATTGAGTAATATTTATCTAGTAATAGTAACTGGGGCTTTGGTGTAAGTACATTTTTATTATGAACCAATTTCTATATAGGTGCTAAAGTCAAGCTAAGCAAGAGTTTTAATCAGGAATCGCTGCTACTAACTGATCCACCTCAAGACAACAACTAACATCACAAGACAGCAATGTGATATTTCTGTGACCAATTTGTTTGATTCCTAAAGAGTCACTTTTCCCGTACAGCAGGCAATGGTGAAGGTATTGTTTTCACTCCAGGACACTTCTGGTGTAGGTTGCAGATAAACATTTCAATCTGAACAATCCAAATACACAAAAGGATGACAGCCCCCCCCTCCCCTTACAGAACAGCAGATGTGAAAACCCTTTATTTTTTTTCTGTTAACCTGTTGTCAGAATGGAACTAGAGAGCTGGAGCCAGGAGGTTCCACATGACTCCAGCAGTGTAATGAACTGGATTGCTGCTGGTACAGCAGTGCTAGGAAGGTCCCTGATGGAGAGAATGAAATGGGGCATAGGACAGGGTGTCCTTTCCAGCCTCACCATCTCTGGAGGCACACATCCAATAGCTCTGAAATGACTGTAATGATGCCCTGTAACATGCTCTCCACTGCCATTATACAGGAGGACTGATATTTACAGGTGTGCTCACCTTTCTGAAGAGAGGCCAGTTCTTCTCTACAGCTAGAGAGGATGCCAAGTAACATGAAGATCCTCCAAAACTTCCCTTAGAGATATTTATCTTATTGCTGTGGTCACACCCTTGGTAGAGTCACCTGACTGGGAAAGGGACTAAGAGCCAGTGTTTCCCAGCCGCTCCCTAAGGACTGAAGCCTGCCAGGCCTGCCTAATGCAGTTTCGAGCAAGATTTCAGCTGATCTCTCCAGCCAGGGAGAGGTCAGAGAGACATCAGGCAGAACAGTAACTACACACAAAGGTCACTTCAGCTACGTGCAGACTTCTAACAGAAGCCCGTCTCCCAGACAATGATTCTCTAGAGATCATGTGGCTGTCCACCAGCAAAATTCTCCACAATTACACCGAAGTACTAAAATACAGACAAGATCCTTTTCCACTTAAGGGGCTGACCTCCTGAGTCTACGTGCTGCTTTATTACTCTCTCATTTCAGCCTACAGCTTCTTTATATTGGTCTTCTCCACATTCAGACCAAGCTAACGTACTGAAGACGGACATCCCTCTATGTGTTACCCCAAGTTTTCAAAATGTTCATTTAGAATTAAGTACTTTCCACATTTATTAGCTATTCCCTGTCAGGTTCTCAGAGGCCAAGGCTACAGGACAGGCTTCTACCAACACATTGCTGCTGATCTA